CTGCCCGCGGTGCTGCCCGCGGCGCCGCCCGCGCGACGCGGACCCCACGGAGCCGGGCGGGCAGGAGCTGCGCCACGACGATCCTCGGGAGAAGGCAAACAGCGGTTTTCTTGCTAAGCTCCAGCTGGCGGAACCGTGACGGTCACTCTGCTGCTTGTTTGGACAACCGTGAGGTACTTGTTTAACAACTTTGTACTTCATAAAAAAATTACTGTAGAAGAAAACGCTGCGCCAGATCTGTGCCAAGCGCTCAGTGGGGTTTTGCACATGCAGGAGCATTGGATAAACGCTCCCAATGTCATTTTTCACTCGTGCTGGCAAACGTGGAGAAGCTGCTCCCTCCTGCCACGCGGCCCAGCCAGAGAGGTTAATTCTCCTGGGGACTCCAAACGTGCTCTGCTGTTAAACGGAGCGAGAGCCTCCACTGGAGTCAGTGCTGTGAGTGGATGGGCAGATGTTTTAGTTTAGTTTCTGTTATTATTTCTATGATTTTCTGTTATTTTTGGTATTTGTCGATGGGGTGGCTGGTCTACGTGCGGAAAGTCCCGTCCTACCTGTCTTCACACCGCGTTTCCGGTGACGATTCCTCCCTGATCCTCTCTGACCCGCTCGGGCTGGCAATGTTAGCGTGACTGGCTAAGCGCCCAGGAGAGCAGGCAGGTCCGCGAGGAGAGGGCTGGCAAGGAGCTAAAGCCCCAGCAGCAGCTCAGCTCAGCGGGGAGGGTTTGCGTCCGTGCTGACAGCCCCGGCTCAGCCCCGCGGCTGCTCCCTGCCCCAGCGGTGCCCGAACCCCCGGGGCAGCGCGGGAGAGCGGGAGCTTGTGGCTCTTCTGTATCAGCTGTGGAAGGATGGAGTGTTAGAACTGCCGGTTTGGTATTTGCAAAAGCAAATGCAGTTGAACAGTTTCTAAACAGGCAAGGGGTGGCAGTGACTCAGCAGAGCGGGAGGATGCAAGTCTGGAGCTGGTGTGCACGGGAGATCCTGGGATGCGCTGGGCGGTCTGCAGGATATTTTGAAAAGTTGCCACTAAAAAAGCCCTGGAAATCACAAGGTGCTCTCAAGGTGCGTGTTGCTGCGTGCAGAAAGGCTGGTCCTGGAGCAGGGAGCGGGCAGGGAGGGCTGGCGGCAGCGCGGCGGGTCCCGCGGGTCCTCCGGGCTCGGGTGTGCGTTGGCACCAGGAGGAGCACGAGGAGGGAACGGGTCTCCCAAAAGGTAGAGAGGGAAACGGGAAGTGTCTGGAGCCTGCGATGGAGGAGGAAAGGGAGGAATCGGCAGAGCTCGGACACGAGCGCGGCCTGAGCGGAGCGGCCGGGAGAGGCCGTGGAGCAGAGGGTCACGGGGGGGCCGACG